CGTCGGCGGAGAACACCGCGTTACCCTTTGCTTTAGCTTCATCCACCATCGTAGATTGCAAATTCGATTGATTAAAGGAATTAGAGAAAAGGGTTTTGCAGAATTGAACTATGATTAGCAAATACGATGTAGAAAGAAGGGTAATTATAGGAGGAGAGGAAGACGAGAAGGTTCTGGCAAATGGTGGTGAAGGAAAAGGAGTGAGGGTTGGAGAAAAGAGAGGGCTCTCGAAGAAGATAAGAAGTAGGGTTTTTAGGATTTCATTTAATTAAACGTCTTATTTGAAAAATTATGTCAGCCAAATGAGAAAACATGAAGCCCCATTTCAAATTCCTGCATCCAGAGTGAAAGTAGGAAGGACATTTTGGTCTTCACAATTACTTTTTTTATTCATTAAAAAGACACTTACTAGGATTCGAACCATGACCACTTTAAAGAAAAGCAAAGATCATAACCAATCACACTAAGTACATTTGTTGTTTCTTATTAAATTAAAAACATATAATTGCAGAGAGGAAAAAACCTTTCCCTCATTTCAAATTCCCTGCTCCAGGAGCGTTTGTAGGAAGGGTAGAATAGGGAGTGTCAATTTTTTTCTTTTTCCTCTGTGGAACGGGCTAACTTACCGTACACATGCGGATTTAAACGGGTCCAGGAGTGACAATTTTTTTCTTTAAGTCCTTTTATTTCTCCGTGGTGGTAAAATATATATGAAAAGACAAAAACAATACTCCTCTTTATTGCTAAAAAGAAAAATTTAACAATAAACTAATGCATGGATTATAATGGGCTAACCGCTAATCGTTAAATAAAAGAGTTGAATGGGCCTGACCTACACGAGATTTGCCCATCAATTAAAACAAATGAACATCATGGGTTTGTCATTCTAAAACAAGCTATTTTCTCTAGCATAATATATATTATGCTATTATTTTATATCTCAGTGGCTAAAATATAATGTATTTTAAAGTTATTCAATGGTTAAACCTCGACCAACCCAATTAGTCCAATTTTTATCATTTCAAATATATTATGTAATTATTTGATATCATAATGATTAAATTATAGTGTATATTATAGGGAATCGTTTGGTATTGTTAGTAAAAAACTAAACAGAAGATCTATTTGATTATTTTTAACATTAAAACGATCCTAAACATTTTCAGTTTCCTTTCGAAATTCTATAGTTTTATTCCCGAATCAATGATGTGCAAATGGCGAATTGCAATAATCTCTTTTCTTTCATTATTTTTTGTTTTCAAATAGAAAGTTTAAAAGTAAAGAATAATTAGAGATTGGCATGGGTCGGTCAAACATGCTGAATTTCAAGTTTTGGCCCGTTTTGATCAAGTCTAATTTATAATCACATGGTTCCCCGATACCCGATAAAAATCTCATTCCAAACCAGTTTGGCAGGTGAGTCCGTGTTTACCACCATTTTCTAGGGATACAGGAACGGTGGTTCCTATACCAAATCGTGTTGTTCATTCTTGATTTCTTTAGATTTTATCATGTCTTGGCAAAAAACCAGAAACCACAATGATGACAAGATGAAAGTTTTATAAAGCAAATTAATCGGTCAACGGACAGTGTAAAAGCTAGCAACGATTGTGAGATGCTCATTTCCCGAAAACCTGCGGGATAGACGATTTTTTATTCGATTTTTTGGAATTCGGTTTCTATAAAACTTACTCCACCTCATCATATTACCAGAAATAATATTGTTTCACAAGGTAACAGATACTTGATTTTGGTTCATAAGACTGATTTTTGATTCGTTGCATCATTCATGTCTCATTCCTACTAAAATTTACTATTTTTATCACATGTTTGCAAAAAAAAAAAAAAAAAACTATACAACAATAAGCTATACACCCCATTATATTATCAAATTTCATACCTCACCTTCCTCCGACCAAATGGTCGGGGCCCACGCTAGTTAAGTAATGAATGACAATTAGTTATATTTTTTTCATTAATTATGTAATGCTTATATTATTTTTTTCACTTTTCATGGAAGTCTAAACACATTATGCACAGTTGGATCACTTTCAAAAATGCTATGTGCATAACTAAAGTAAAAAACAATCATTTCATGCATTTCAAATCATCTATTATATCAATTATTACATACCATATTACTCGACACCGCGGCTTGGCTTCTCCGACAAAGAATTTCGTGGTCAGAGGTGAACTCCTCCCACCGAAATTTCAAAGGAACCGCTCCTATGGTGTTGAGAAACAGGGGATTCGGCAAACGGCGGGGACAGGACTTAATCGCAAGTCCAAAAACGAGATCTCCACACAAAGATTCATATTAACCAAAAGTCCAAATGATTGGAAAAACTAACGAAAAAATACCAGAAAAACACATAGAATCATATGTGTGCTAGAAGAAATCGGCCTTCCATCAATCCGAAATTATACCCTGGCACTCCTCAATGACTAAGAAGCATCAGAAGTGCGATCGGAGGGGCATGCAGTTCCGCTGATATGGTGGTGTGTACCAGTATATGCTTTCTTCCCCGCTCCTTTTTGAGGTGAATCTTTGTTACGAGATCGGGCCATCGTAGTATTTCGTAGAAGATTGGGCTTGCGTATCTTTAGTATTTTATTATTAGTTCGTTGGGTATTATTGGGTCTTTATTATTATTGTCTTAATTAGTGTTTCCCCTGTTTAAGTAGTATTTGGTCATTGTTAGTTGTTTCCTTGTAGTAATAGGAGTCAAGTCCTAGATAGGAAAAGGTAGATGCTTCTATGCCTATAAATATGTACTTGTTTCGTTCGTTTAATGATAAGAAGATTGGAACCCAATAGTTAGCTTTTGTTCTTAGTTTGCTATTTTCTTCTTATTTCCTTTGAGTGTTCTTGCGTTCTATTCCTTTTATGAGAAAACCCTAAAAACACAATCACCGTAACAAGCTTCTTCCTTGCAGGTTAGAAACCCAGAAAAACAGAACACAATAGGAATAGGAATAGTGGGTTACCTTGTTGACGTACAAATAATCCCAACATAACTATAAAGACTTTCTGGGGCAGAACCCCCTTAGATTGGTTTTTCCTGCGTTGTGCGCAATCCACGGAGGGAGCACATAGTCAATTCCCGCCACAGTCAATTAATTAGACTGACTGGGCCGCCAGTTCCCTCCTAGAAGCCCATTGATTCCCTCCATCGAAGCCCATTACAGCTCGCGTTCCTAGCCTCTGTACCACCCGGAAATCGAACCTCACCAAAATCGAACCTCACCGAAAATGAACCTCACCGCCTCAGCGCCCAGCTCACCGCTCCTGTCTCCAGCCTCTCTAGCTACCGGAAATCTAACCTCACCGCCCAACTCACCGCGCCCATCGCATCCCCCAACTCTCTCGTTGCCGGCCCAACTCACTGCGCCCATTGCATCGCCCAACCTCTCTCGCTGCCTGCCGGAAGTCTAACCTCATCGCCCAACTCACTGCTCGCGTCTCCAGCCTCTGTAGCTACCGGAAATCGAGCATCAACTCGGAGCGCGTGTTGTGGATCTTCAGCTAAAACGGCTTCCGACTCCGCAGCAGCTGAGCGTAAGCGCAAAGCGAGTGTGTTCTCGCGGATCAGCTTCCCGGAGGGAGAAGCGGCCAGCAAGAAGCGGAAGGGGTCTTCCTCCGCCGCTGCTGCCGAAGCAGCTTCTTCAGCTGCTGGTGGAAAGTCCTCTGCATCGGGCAACGGATACCACGACAGGAAGTCATCTACGTCCGCTTCCGTCGGTGGTGGAGGCAGGAGCAGAGGAATCGATTCTGAGGAAAGGGATACTCGCGTTCACGGTGATTGCACCAGCCCTAGCTCCGACTGAAAAGCATAGAGGAGTGGTTTCCGGCGGTCAAACTAGAATTGAACCACAGTGCTGGTACTAGAGTTTACTGGCGAGGTATCTCTCTCTCTTCCCACTTCCATACCTTTTACCATAAATTAGAAGAAGTGGCATCATGCATTACTTTGAAGTATGAACTATAGGTACTAGATAGCCATATTCGTCAGATTAGAGTTCATGAATCAGTATGTATACATTAGAGTTCATAGTGTGCTCAGAACAAAGATTCTTGTGCTTGCAACCCTTATTATTCAGATTGTTTGAGTGTTATGTGGCTAGACTTTAGAATGAATGAGTAGTGAAATAACCTGCAATATGTACACATCCCCTGCTAGAGCCATCTCCTAAATGCATGCTAAATATGGGACAGTAAGAATCAAACAGAGGCTAAATTGTATAACCTAAGAACATCAAGCATTAATGGATGTGCAAAGTAGGTAAACTGTTATGCATCATAGTAGCTTCAGCTAAAAATTGAAAGCAAAAAGGTGAACGGAGCACAAGTACACATAACTTATAAGTTGCAGAGGGTGAATCCCATGCCAATTCACTAGCTCCCATCACAAACTCCTTCAACTCTTGAATCAAACTGAACCAAACATTGATTATATACTCGGATCCATAGAATCAGGACTACAAACAGATCAAAACCTCAAACTGTTCACAACCCAACTCAAACTCACAAAACCACTCCAATAAATAAACACCTATGAAAGCAATTGCAATAAGTACATAATTGCAAGAGAAAGAGATAACAGAGTTAGAAACCTCTGAAAAGATACTAAAATTATTTCTGAATCATTTTCCTGAGGTCATCAAGTTGGTAATAAAGATTAGTCAAACATGTCAGTACTCTCCATGAAAAAATCGATAGAATGAAGACCAACATGAAACAGAACCAGCAATGTTTTGTCATGTTTAGGAGTAGAAAAGTCACAGCGGGAACTCACAAAAAAGTACAACAGAAGCAAAACTGGCCAATCTAAGGTTCATTCCTAATGTCAGTCACCAAACTTGCTACACATGAACTTCTAGAGATCAGTTTCTGTATCCAAGTAAAAATTAGATATCATTCTAAAATTCTCGGAACCAACTGCACTGCTCAGTTTGGCAATGCAGGGCCAAAACCAGAAACTGCCAATTCATTATTCACAAGTGAAATGGAATTTCACATAATCTGTCAGCTTATTGCTGAAGTATGGAATCAAATTCACACTTTTAAAGATATGTTGATTGTTGGTGATAGTGGATCATGAGCTTACTTTCTTAAGGCAGCATATGCCTCTCTGCCTTTTCAAGGGGATAACCACTGGAGTAGAAGGCAATTATGACTCTGAAAAGATACTAAAATTATTTCTGAATCATTTTCCTGAGGTCTACTATCTATCCACACTGAATTACTATGGTCAAACAAAAATGGTTAATCCAGGTAAATGATTTGTAGTTACCTCTTGCTCTCTCAAAGATTCTTCTGCTTGCAACCCTTATTAGTCAGACTGTTTGAGTGTTATTTGGCTATGGTAATATCAATTATCCATATGTATCATTAGATTAGGTTACCCTCTATCTAATTTGGCGCCTGCTGTCCTGAATAGCTTTTCCTTGAGCTAATTCCATTAATCAGAAGAGGTAATTCCATTAATCAGAGAGTCATCACCACTCGAAGACAATAGCAGCAGCACCAGTCTTTGTTTCTCCAGTGGAAGACAATTACCACCACTCGGATACAACAACAGCAGCACTCGAGCGGCAAATGCTCCACCAGTCCACCAGTCTTTCTTCCACCACTCAAAGACAATAAAGTGATTGACATTAAGGTACACAACTGTAATCCTTTTTCTTTGGTGAGCTATGAAGTCAGAACTCAAATTCCACACATATATATTACAAATCAGATTACAGGTTCATGTTTGTTTTCTTTGGTTCGATCTGTTGTATATCACCAATGAATGTACTTAGTGAAAGGGGTGCAAAAGAGAGTGCTTAGGTTCCACAAAGTTTTATAATCATGCCTCTCTCTATCTCATTGGCTCGAAAAGCATTGTTGCGATGAAGCAAACCTGGTCATGCGTATTGTTGTTTATTAGAACCCTTCCGACATCAGATAAGATAAAAAGCTTTCTCATTCCATTTTCTGTAAGAAAATTCAACCTATGCAACCAATAAGATCCAGGTCTATAGTTTGTTCCTTTTCCTATCAAAAGCAAAACCTCATACTTTTCTCGGAATCCCTCCATTTTCAGGCTGCACCCACTATGAACAATGCTTTTCAAGAAAAACCCAATTTTCCATGCAAACAAACTCTATAATTGCTCCCACCAACGTCTCGAGCCAATGAGATAGAGAGAGGCATTTTGGTTAGTACTTGCTTCCATTGGCTACAGAAGCAAATCTAATGTTCTTTTTTGAAGGTCTATGCCTCGAAGAAGCATTCCCCGTGTGAAGTCATCAACACTATCAAATAATGAGTCAATTCGACCATTAAAAGTTGAATGTAAGTACAGATATTGATCTTGCAGAAGTCATCAATTTTGTGCCAAGGTGAACTCACGATCCACAATTTTATTATCGTATTTGGTTGCGTTATAAGTTTCCCGCTTAAAAAATTCAAAAAGATCCATTACCTTCGTTTTTGGTGAATATAGTGACGGCGATGCACCAATTCCTCCAGTCAATGGAACAAATATAACTAAACAAATAATCCCATCCATATCACTAGATGAGCTCAATCAATTGAAGATGAAAGATGGACAGGAGGTACGTATCGTTTTCAATTAAACAAACTAATAGTGATCAAATGCTAACAATTCGTATAATATCCAGGGAAATATGTATTCCGTCAAATGCAAAGTTATCAAGGTTAAGAATGGGTGGTGCTATGCTGGATGTGGAACATGTCCACAAAAACTTGAAGAAGAATCAGATGAGTACTTCTGTGGGACCTATATGACGACGTTAAAGACCACAACATCAAGGTAATACGATAATTATTAATATCAAATTGTGTTATGTGTTTTCTACATATATTTCTTTATCCTACTCACTACACAATGCAAAACGTTTCGATAATAATATGAAGAGCTACTGCACCGCCGATTTGTTCCCAATTGGGCTGCAATTCTTGTTGTACCAACTTTCACCCTTTCACAATTTATCATTATTGGCTTGCTCTTTCCTGTTCAATTACTGCTTGCTTTGGTTTCCTTAATTTCACGTGGTTCTGCTTTTGGTTTAATTATTTGTGTGTTTAGCTTTTTGGATTTGGAGTTATAACCATTTCTTATTTTTAATTCTTCAAAAACCCACTTACTGCCCCATTTTGATCCCTGCACTGCATGCCTTCCTTTGGTATTATATACAATATCCGTAGCTACATATGATAAGATTATTATTATATAACATAAAATTTTCATTTATGATTTTCTATATTTACACACTTCCGACACTAAAATTGTGCTTCTTTATGTTATTACAATTCTTATATAGATTCAGGATACAACTTCGAACGCGGACAAAACAACTCAAGCAGACTTTGTTGTTTTGGATCGAGAGAGTGATCGATTTTTTGGTATATCTGCTGAGAAACTATTCCAAGACAACGATCGAATGAGAGGACCACCACCTGCTCATCTACTACAAATTGAGGGAATGACGCTGAAATTCGACATCAAGCTCACTGATTATAACATCGCAAACCCAACAAGTGAGTACACAATTTGGAAGATAGGGCTGGAGGATGATAACAAAAACTCAAACGATCACCCTGAATCAATTGAGGTAAGTCCAACTAGCGTGAAATTATATTCACCTTATTTACAATAATGCATTATAACCAACACGATTTGGAAATTCTATTCAAAATGAACCCTCTAATTATAATTTAATTACAATGCCATCTCAAGTGCTCATACATTGATTTTGCAATGCGTTTAATTTTATAGCTTAAAATAGTGCAACATTCCTTTATTTCCTATTCACTTGCATGTTGCTGCATACTTCAATATATAATCATCCTATATACGTCTTTACTTACCAAATATTATGATTTTATGATTCAATAAAACAACAAATATGTTTTGTTTTTTAATGGCAAAAAACTAATATCATTATCCTAATTATGCAGGAGATCGAAAATGGCATTGGCAATGATGCGGTGGCTAGAATCGGTGTAACAAATGATGATGCTCTTGAGAAGAATGTGGAGTCTCCTGATATTGAACCAAAACAGAGGACTAATGGAGAAGAAGACTTCAATACCGGTGGAGATGATGATGTTGCTAATGACAAAGGAAATGCAAACAAACTAAAAAGAAAACATAGAGTGATAGTCTCTGACAATGAGGAACAAATAGAATGATTAGCGAAAGCAAATTAGGAGTCGGTCCCCTGGCATAGGGTTTCTATATTCTTTTTTCGGAAAACAATTTTACTCAATGAGTCGGTTAGTATATTCGGAAAATACTATGATTGTGTGGTTAAAGTATTTTACTGTTGCACTTTGTTTACATTTAGAAGTGATAAATTTTCATTACAATAAAAAAATAAATTTTTAAACACATACATGACAACACGTTAATCACATTATTATACAGTGATGAACAGTATAATCATTTTTAAACTTACAAGTAAATGATATTTTATTAAATTATCCATTGAATTCATTTGGAAGGGGTATAATCATTTTACGGGATTTAATTAATACAAAATAAAATTTTATTTATGCTATGATTTTAAAAGTTAATGTTGATGCTAATTGGTGGAATCAAGAAATTTTTTTATATTTGACGGTAAATGTGCTATTTAAATATTTTTAATTATTATTTTATTCAAAATGTCATATATAATTTAAATATTAACATGAGTTGTAAGAAAATAATTTGAATTATTTAACGCTACTAAAAAATTAAAATATTAAATATTTTCATATATCTTTATTTCTAAATATACTACCTAATAAACACAAAGCTCCCATCAAAATTGCTATTTCTATTTACGCGATTGGCAAATGAATCCGGCCAACCGGCCGGGCCTGCGACTAGTTCTCTAAACTGTGGTTCTTTGAGATCGATCTAATGCGAACCAATGTTGATTGAAAAGGACTGCTTTGAAGAAGATTAAGAAATTAGCAGTCTTCGGGAGGTCTAAATTCTTAGGGATTCTTTGGGCCAAGCAAATCTGAGAGAGCGGTCAACTGTGGACAGTGGAGTTTCACATTTCCAACTGTGAAAATGCATAATACCTATATTGATAATGAATAATAATTTATATAGTATACTTAAATTAAAATTCTAGTTAATTTAACTATATTATAAATCTATAAATTAATTATAAATAGAGTAAAATAATTTATTTAGTAATTTGATTATTTTAAAATAGGGGAGAAATTTTGGTATTTTCAACTTTTTGTGAACATGAAGAAGAGTGAATTTTGGTACTTCAATTTTTTTGGAAAGAAAGAAGGTAAAATTTTGGTGATTTTGATTTTATGGGACGAGAAAGAAGTGGGCAATTTTTTCAACTTTTTGAGAAAAGAAAGAAAAATGAAATTTTGGGCTTTCAATTTTTTGAAAGAGAAAGAAGAGGTAAACTTGAGTGCTTTTGATTATGAGTAGAGAAAGAAGGGAAATTTTGGTGTTATCAATTTCTTAAGAAAAGAATAAAGGAATTTTTTTTATAGTTTTGACTTTTTTGTGTCTCAAAATTTTAGTCTTTCAAATATAAATATTAAATTTCTATGTGTAGGGCATGGATGGAATGACTAATATACAATTTTAGTCTCATCTTCTATATTATATCATCTCAAATGCATGTTATTTAACATTCAAATCATATACTTAATAACTTATCAATTTGATAATTACAATGTTTACATGTGATAGTTTAGGAGTATAAGATTTAGGGACTAAGATATTGTCAATTGTAAACCTTATTACAGGCTTATAGGTTATGACTAATTGAATATAGTTGATTTTGAGAACATATCATGAGTTATCTTATCTCATATACTTAATTACTAGCTTTTACTCGGCCCTTGACCGAATGAGTTTCGCTTTATCATTAATATTGGTTTATTTATAATTATATTTAAAATATTAACCCGATTCGTTGGTCGGATGAATTTTATTTTATTTTGATAAATCTCTTCATGTTTTTAAATAAGTTGAGGTTTCTAAAATAGTTAATTCATTATTTCATAGTAATCTATATGATATTTGATGATTATGACATTACCGATAATGAGTTAATATGTATTTTTTATCAAGTCCTCCTAATTTATTGTTGTGTATTTTTTTCATATCTTAGAAGAAATTTGTGGACTTTTTTATTATTGGATATGAAGTTGGAGTTGAAACAAAATATATGTTATCTAGAATGGTAGGAATTAAAGGTATATAAATAATCAAGAGAATGGCGAAAAGATTATGCCAATAAATCTCAAATATGGAAGAAACCAAAAACATAATGCTTATTGTATAAATTATTAGAATTTAGTGTATAGGCTTGATTGAATAATAAGTCGAGGCTGTTATGTGTTAGATACTAATGCACGTACAAAAGTTGAAATATAAAACCTTAAATTCTACTCTATCAATACAATCTTTGACTTTTCATGTGGAGTTAATAGCATAAATTGTCACTCTATTATCCATTTTCTCAAATCTATCCCTTTTATTTTTCACATCAAACATGCCATTGTAATATATAGTATGTACGTATTATCAAATTATATTTAATCCGTTTTATGGCTTATCTTCTCTATCTGCAACTCCCAATAATTAATAGCCACAATCTCATCCTCCATCTGTCCCGCTTTGAGCTTTCTCTTCCTTTGACCTAACAATAATTAAACACAAAAACATGTCCGTCACGAAAGAACCTTCAAGACCGACTTTTGAATTTCAACCACTCTCTAAAAAGTCCACAATTATAGATCGATTTGACTCAAGCATAAAAATTGGAACCCAAAATGTTTAGAATATATGGATTTCAAGTATCAAAGGTTGTCAACCTGGTTTAGCCCGTTGGCCTTGTCGATTAAGTGTGTCGAGGGTTAATGGTCTAATGGTTTTAGTCCGCTTTTGCCCGGATATATGAAAAATTATTATATTGTTCATATATTCAAAAATTATATAAAATCTCATCTACATATGAGTAATATTCTTCCTCGACCGGAATATCTACATTTGTTTCTCTATCTGCTATTTTCTGCTATCCTCCTTCGAGATCCTAAAATGCACTCCAACAACAAGTATTCGTCACGCGATGAAGGTCACACTCCTATGGTGGCGATGTGTGTCAGAAGTGGAATTAATGAGTAACGACCAAGTGGAAATTGAGCATGTGGGTGTTTGCGAGGGTAGACAATATGTGATGGAAGGCAAGTTCTTCCAGTAGTCTCTTTGTTAACATAATTGACTTGACAAATTTATCTTACCAATTCGCGGAGCGGGAGCTAGAGCATGAGCTAGAATGGGAGCGTAAGAGTGTATACTCTTCAATAATTATAATTTGGTGCTCTGAAAAAGCGTGAATATTATATTATTTTAATTAATATATCATTTAACTTACTAACATGTTTTGGTCAAAATATTACATCAATACAGGGGAAAAAATAAAATTATTTTAGTAGAATAATAGCTTTAAATAATCTTATTAGACCCGAAAAAGAACAAACTTCAAAAGGTGAATAGAAACCCAAAAAATTTTATGTTGCTATTTTGTTTTATTTTTTAAAAAAGAAAAGAGAAATGAATGCATCGTTTATCCACCCCCATGCACTCAATTAGTTGTTAATAAAAGAGTCTATATCTTTTCCTTCCCCTTCGATTCTTTGTTTCCTAAGCCGACTCTGGAGATCTCCTGTAGATGTACTAAATTGGCAAATTCTATATCATCGGCTATCTAACTAACCTCCTATCATTTTGTTCAGCCCCAAGCTAGTGATTTGATGATCTATTTCACAGTACTTATTCACGAACTCGTAGTGTATCCTTTTCGTCTTTGCTCTCCATATCTCTGATGGTACCGCATGTATTTCTTTCTCCCACGAAGAAGCAGGTCATCGTCTTCGAGCCAAAGCTCTTGATTTGGCAATAACTTGTTTCATTTTACTTTGTTTATAGAGAGAGAAAAATCTCTCAATTAAGTGATATTTGGAATAAAATTTGCGAACATTGATTTTCGATGCTCTGATTTTTAGTTTGAGCAACAATTTCTGAATTTTGAAAGTTTGTAGTTTCTGTAAAATAATTATGAAGCAAAAATAGAATTCCTACTTTCATTTTCGTTGGAGGAAATTTGAAATGAGACAACAATTTTCTCATTTTAGTATTATATATTGTGTAGAGTGTATATAAAGACATGTCTTTTCCCTACAAATTCATTAGCACATTTAAAAAAGGTGAAATGAACCAACTTATTAAACTCCTAATGATTGTTGGATCCAATCATGTCAGAATAGGAAAACGTGAAAATTTGATGGTTAGCCGAACTAAAATGTTCAAAGAACCAGTCTCATATAGTTTACACAAAGATATGAATACGATTGTGTAATAGTAGGTCTAAAAATTAATACTAATTTAATAATAATACATCACTTTTACATATTCAACACTGCAATTTGATATGGAATATTCGAATCAATGATATTTGGCCCGCGATTTTAAAGGTATCCTCTATTTATAAGATATATTGGAATTTAATTAAGTATTAAATAATAATTAAAATAAGGAATTTGGCCTTTGTTAGTGACCTAAAGTTTCAACTCAAATTAATGTTTTTTTAATAATTTTTGCTTCGTAATTTTTGCCTAAGTAGACAACCAACTGGGACTTCGGCATCGGCTGAGATACTCAGGCTTAGATAGAATTGGTTCGACGAATAGAGTCATACTCCAATCAAAAATCATGGTTATGACTTTTGTCTGTGTTTGAAGATACATTAGTTCAAATCTCAATACTTGTATATTTTCTATACAAAATAAAGATAAATAATGGCGAAAACAAAAATGTCATTCATACTTTTGCTCTCATTGTAGGAAATTTGAAATGAGACGACAATTTTATCGTGCCAATAATATATTGTGTAGAGTGTATATGTAGACATGTCCTTGCTCTACAAATTCATTTTAATACATAAAAAGATGAAATAAACCAATCTATTATACTCAACCTCTTCTAATGATTGTTGGATCCATCATGCTGTCGGATTTGGAAGATGTTTAAAACTTAACTGTCAACCGAGCTAAAAACGTTCAAAGAACCCGTCCCTATATTGTTTGCAGAAAGATATGAATATGATTGCCTCATAGTAGTTCTATAAACT